CAGTCAAAGTTTCCCTAAACCTCAGCCCACGTCCTGCCCAGAACTCCCAAAGCTGGGGGCCTGTATCCCTCTTGTACTGCTCTCAAAAGATGCTGGCAAGGGACCCAAGGGATCCACCAGCAGCTCTGAAAATTGGCATTGATCATTACACTTAAACCCTCCCTAAATCCTCCTTACCCCAGCAGGGATCACTGCCTGGAACACCAGATTCAGCCAGGGCAGAGGGAACAAGGGGACAACTGAGAGCTGGAACCACTGTCCCACAACCCACAGCTCCCAGCACAACCAGTTCCATTGGGAGGGATTTTAACTTGGGCAGAAAGAATACAGATTTAAATTATTTTTGGGGTGTTAATTATAAGATTAATATAACACACATCCAGTGATGGGCACAGCTGACGCTGCCCGAGCGATGCCAGCGCAGGTCCCTGCAGGGCAGCTCACCTGGAGCAGCAGGAATGTGCCCACCATCCAGGCAGGGATCAGTCCAGCCCCCCAGGGTGTCCCTGCCCCGTGTCACTGCCTTGAGCAATCGCCTGCAACGTCCCATGTTTGTGGTGGGTGATTAAGGATTGCCTTTATAGATTTTTTTCTCTCGTAAGCAGGGTAAAGAATGCCAGGGGTGGTTTATGATGTTGTCACAAGGCACTGGGGATGGGAAGGAAATTTCCACTTGCCTGTCTCTGTTGCTGGCCACACCACAGACAAGGGGCAGGCCAGAGAAGCCCAGTCCAGGCCCCTCTAAATGAGCCTCCAATAAACCATTTCCCCTCCCAAGAACTTGGTTCCTACAGACAAAAGCTCTTGGCATCAGGTGATAGAAACCACTGGGATGTGGAAGTGAGGGCCGACTTGGGCTGGTCTTTGGGCTCCTGTGAACCCTCTGTACCTGTGGAACATGGCTGGGACTGTGCCCATACTCTGTCTCCCAACAGAGTGGTGGCTTTGGAGCACTGGGAGGTCACAACTCAAAAGCAAGGATTAACCCTGTGTCCTTGGCTTTTAAACATTTACTATTTTTGAGGGAGTGGGATGTTTGCCTGAGCCTTCCAGAGGAAATGTTCCACGTTCATGCAACAAAGGAATTAATTATTACTGAGCCCAGGCCTGCAGCAGGACAGAACAAAGGAGCAGCCCTGAGGGAATGTATCTGCCCTGGTGTTGGGAGCTCCAGCCAAGCGGTTCTGCAGCCAGAGCCAGCCAGTGCTGCCCTGGCATCCCGTGTCTGCCATGTGGGACTGAGGCAAAATCCTTGGAGAAAGCAGCCTGGGAAATTTCAGTGCTGTGCAAAGCCCTGACTGATTTGTTTTGGAAGATGAGGGAGAAGGAAGGTTTTTTTGCAGGGCCATGGCTGATGTGCCACTAACCCAAGAGCCCAGGGAACGCTGCTCCTCCCTAACTACTGCTGGGCATGAGGATGGCTCCAAGGAAAACCAGCACTCCCTGCACACAGTTCCAGTTAACCCAACAAACAGGGACAAAACCAAACCAATAAAAGTGGGATGATATTTTCAACACCTGCCAGCTCTGACTCCTAAAGCACTTGAACACATAAATCCTCGGGGAATCTCCTGATGGATAAGCGAGGCTGGGTGATCACCTGGCTCCCACCAAAGGGGCAGGACCAGCCATGGAGGAATCACCAAAAGTTTCCAGCTGTGCCACACCAGGAGGTGCCAGAGGAGAGTGCAAGGAGAAGGGTGGTGGGGCTGCTCAGCGAGGTCACAAGTCACTGCCAGCGAGATGAGGGTGGGCAGAGCGAGGGACTGGAAGGGCACAGCATCCCCCAGCACTGCCCAGCCCACAGCCAAAGGCTCACAGCAGCAGATACCCAGCCTGGATTTACCACCAGGGACTGGCAGAGCCCATTGCTCTCGTGTTAACCCTGAACTCTGACTTTCCTGCTCCTACAACTCCTGAGCATAACATGTTTTCCAGAACATCTCACAGGTGACTGCTCCAGATCCAGTTTAAGCTACAAGGCCAGGTTGGACAGGGCTTGGAGCAACCTGGGCTAGTGGAAGGTGTCCCTGCCCATGGCAGGGGGTGGAACAGGATAATCTTTGAGGTCCCTTCCAACCCAAACCATTCTGGGATCCTACACCTCAACCCAGCCATCCTCCCGTGTCCTCCTGAGCAGAGGCTGCCCCAGCACCTGCCTTGTGTTTAGAGGTGCCACAAACACGTAGAGACAACAGCCCTGCTCTGAGCAGCCTTTGCCCCTCACAGAGATGAAATCCTTGGCACTAAGGTTTGTTTGATAAGCTACATGGAAACTCTGCCCGTGGGAAAAGGCGTGGGGATGAGAACAGATAAATCTGTTCACATTAACAGACACTTATTTTTGTCCTTGTTTGGGCTTGCACCGATTTGTTAAACAAGTGACAACAGCAACTGTGTCAATGAGAACAGGAAACGGTGGGACCAAACACGCCACAGCTTCCAAAAACCCTTTTTAGGAATCACAGAGAACATTTCCCACATCCATCTACCCCAGCAGAAAAGTCAGAATACCCCTATTTTATCCACCTCCTGTGTTTCATTGTTTCCCTTTGCTTCATTGTGCAGATCTGCCACCTTTCCTTTGCTTTTCCATACAATCCAAAGTGCCCAAACTGGGGTTTGTATAGAAAAGCAGATTTGGGGACTGGAACTGGATGATCCTTAAGGTCCCTTCCAATGCAAACCATTCTGGGGTTCTAAACCCAAACCACTAAAAATCCAAAAAGCACATAAGCAGACTCTTAAGGACATGATCAAGTACCATTAACAGCTAATCACAGAATTCCAGAATTATTTGGGTTGGAAGGGATCTTAAAGCCCACCCAGTCCCACCCCTGCCATGGACAGGGACACCTTCCACTAGCCCAGGTTGCTCCAAGCCCTGTTCAACCTGGCCTGGGACACTTGCAGGGATGGGGCAGCCACAGCTTCTCTGGGCAACCTGTGCCAGGGCCTCCCCACCCTCACAGGGAAGAATTTCTTCATAATATCCAACCTAAACCTCCTCTTTCAGTCTGAAAACATTCCCCTGTGTCCTGTCACTTCATGCTCTCCTAATGCTTAAGTGCTCTCTGTGGATCAGTGCTGGCACATTTCAAAGGCCCCAATTCTGCCTGGATTGCTATGAAGAAGTTATCAGGAAGAATTTTGGTGCTGCAGGACGTGCTGCTGCAAGGAAAGACCCCAGCAGAGCCAGCATCAGGGTCAGCTCTTTCAAAGAGCCATAAAGAAGCAAAAGCAATTCCTTTGACACTGCCTTATCTTTCCATGTTTATCTTGGAGACAGATAATCCCCACGATTACTCAACTGGGGCTGAGGGAGCACTGGCAGAATGATTTGCAGCTCCGAGCTGTGGCACAGGTGAGGTGACCTCTGCCCCTCCAGAGAGCCCACGTTGGGTAAGAGTTTCCCTTCAAATCGCTACTGAAACGCTCCGGCGCCGATGGAAATTTCCAAGGATTCCTAACACAGACTTACCCCTGTCTGCTGGAAAACAGGGACAGATTTGGGTCAGTTCTGCATGCACAGACTGGTTTCTGAAGAGGGAAAACAACCAGTAGGATGAAGCCACACTTAGACCTTAATTCCGGTATTGAACATTCATAGTTCTGGTATTTGGTGTTAAAATCCCCCAAGCTCTCACAGAAGGGACGGATGCTCTGGTCCCACACACGCCTGCACATCTCCCCTGCAATGACCTGGCCCCTGTTTCCCCTGCCTGTCCTGTCAGCCCAATGAGGATGGAGCGTTTCCATCCTCAACCACCACATTTCCTGTGCCCCAGCAGCACAGAGACCTGGAAACTCCTGTCAGCTCAAAACAAGGAGCTGTAACTCTGCAGAGGGGTTGAAATGCTGGGCACTGAGCTAACAAGTGCTTTTCATTCACTACTGGGTAATCCCAGGAAGGAACTAAATAATTTCATTTCCTAGAAGGTAACTTCTTTTATCCATCTTTTCAGAGTGAGCAGGTGATGCTCGGGCAGGTAACGTGGGTGGGACACAGATACAGTGAAGTGTGATCACCCACAACGTGCCTGGGCCTTGGACAGAGCAAGGACCAACATCCAAGACTCAGCATGGACAGGCAGGAGGATTCTGGGGTACCTGTGGGAACAATTTGTGACAGGCAGCTCACAGGCAGGGCCCACGTGCCACGACTCCCTCGCTTTGCCATGGCAACTGGACTCAGCATCCTGCTGTGCAAAGCTTCCCAGCCACAGACTGGGGGAAGGAGAGAGGCCTGACAGCACCCAGGAACAGCCAGCTGGGCTGGAACAGGAGGGAGAGGCAGAGATCCAGGGACAGCTCCAGGGAGCCCCAGCAGCCACACCCAGTGTAGGAAGCAGCAGCAGAAGGCAGAGGCCACCTCTCCTGGCTGGAAAACCTTCCTCAGCCTTCCTCAACCAGCAGCTCCCAGCAAAGCAGCACTGTTTCAGCAGCACCAGGCACCCTCCACATCCAAATATTCCCTGGAGAGTGGTGAAAGATTTATCTCTCTCAGTTAGTGGAACCCCGAGCGCTGGGCTGCCCACACCCATCCTCCCCACACAGCTCCCAGGGAACCACACACTCCTTTGATCCTGCTGTAACCCTGAAGCACAAGGTGACCCACTTTCCTCACCACTGTTGGCAACTGAGACAGGAGAGACTGGAATAGCTTTTGCAGGAATGATTTCCCTTCTCCTAGCTGGATGCTGTTCAGCTCACCAGCTGCAAATGGAAAGTCAGACTCACCCAGTCAGAGGGTGATCAGGCCACCACCATGTTTTCATCCCAGGGCACAGCTCTGCTCCTGTGCCACGCTCTCCAGTGCTCCCCTTGGATGAACTAACAATACAGGGACTTAAAAAAGAAGTGATGAGCAGAAATTCCTCCAAGATCTAATCCAAACCCACCTTCTTTCAGTTTAAGGCTGTTTCCCCTTATCCTATCACTACACCCCCCTTCTGTTTACTGCTTCTGTTCCTCTGAAATTGTGACTGTAACTTCCAAGAACTGTTTATTTTTCCTGGTATCTCAGTAATATCCATCCCTTCATCTCCAGTCCAGGCCCATGTCAATCTTTTCCAAAGTGTTCTCACACTACAGCAAGTCACACACAGCACAGAAATGGTGGCCTATCACAGAATCCTGGAATGGTTTGGGTTGGAAGGGACCTTAAAGCCCATCCAGTCCCACCCCCTGCCATGGGCAGGGGCACCTTCCACTAGCCCAGGTTGCTCCAAGCCCCGTCCAACCTGGCCTTGGACACTACCAGGGATGGGGCAGCCACAGCTGCTCTGGGCCCGGCTGCAACTGCTTTAAAAAAATCCTCCTGGTGAGGCATTTGGTGAGAAGAAACTTGTAATCACTAAATCAGATATAAATAGGTAATTTCTAGTGAGTAAGACAGGAGACAAACTATAAATATTAAACATTTATTATTTTTCTCATAGGAAGGTTGCAAGATTCAATTTCAAACAACAGGACAGGGGCTTTCGTTACTCTTGGGATTTTGTTTTGCTTCTTTTAAGGGGAAAGAAGAAACTGGTGTAAAGATACTACCAGAAGCAGTGCAAATTGAGATTAATTTCTTTCTTTCTTTCCCCATCCCAGTGCTGAACTGCCAGGCTAAGCCCTTCCCAGTTAAATAACATCTACTTTCCAGTTTTTTGTACACCACTGAACAAAATCAGGGCTCCCCTTCTCCTTTACCCTTCCCCTACAAGAACACCCAGCACAGTGACAGCCTTGTGCAACAGTGAAGCCTGGAGAGGCCAACACGGTGACACCTCACCAAAATCAGACCTGAAGAGAATGAAAATGAACCAAATTGCACCTTCCTGATCAGCCATGCACAGTGCAGGTACCCAGTGCTGCAGCTCTCCAGCGTTGCTCTTCCACCTTCCTGTCACAAACACATGTTACACATCCACAAAAAGACAAAGGAGGAAAACCAAAGAACCCAAGAACACTTTCAGCTTTAAACTACGGAAGGCAAGCTTTAGACAGGAATCACTGACACCTTGTGAAAGTCCATCATTAGACATCTGGGAATGGAAGGCAAGTCCTGCCTCATAACAACTGCTCACAAAGAATATTCCTCAAAACCACCCAAAGCCACCAGGACAGTTCCCAGCACCGTCACAGGGACACAGACTGGGGTTGGCACATGCAAAGTCCATATTTCTGGATCCTGGCCCAAGCCAAGGCAGTCACTGGGGCTCCTGGGCTCCCTTCCCTCCAGCCAGACCCTCAGAAGTCGATGTTTGCCAGACCTGTGTGAAGAGAAAGAGGGATTAGGGAGGAAAAACAAGTGTTTATTCTTATCCTACCAGTCCTTCACCACTATTAGGACAGTCAGGCACAGAAAGAAGGATGCTTTGAGAATTACTTAACTTTTTTAAACTTAAATGTAAAGGATTTGGTGGGAGGATTTTTGATTGTGATGAAGCAATTAATTTGAATAAGCTAATCTGCAGGAATTGTTCATGGCAGAAGGAACAACACAGAATGTTCATGAACCTCAGATTCTGCCCATGAAATTAAAAAGAGAAATCTGGGGAAAGTACCCTTAATGAGGGCAGTAAATTCACATGGATTTAAACCTCCTGCTTTAGATTAAGGCATACCCATGCCATGTCCAGATGCCCATTGGACATCTGATTATCTCCTTTGAGATGTGTCTTTTTTAACTTCTAAGATACCCTGCACCACTCAACCTCAGTCCCCAAAACTGTCCTCAGTCTTTCTCTAATCATAGCAAGGAATAATGCTGAGTTCCCAAAAGAGTGAATATTTTGGGAGTGAATACTATGAATATTTTGCCCTTAGCTCCCCTAGAAATTCGTGTATTACAGTCATCACCTTTTAGCCCTAAGAAATGGAAAACATGGATTTTTGAGCTCAGGACTATGGAGGCTGGAGGATTCAGGTGACCAACACCACAAGGCAGCAGCTCTGCTACAGCAGCAGCAACAGGGTATTGAAGGTCTCCTTTCACCAGCTGTACCAGATGCTTGGCTGCTCAGAGATCACAACTATTCCCATCTGCTGTGCCTGGAACAGCGTTGTCTTCAGTCTGGACAAATACAGGCTGTAGCCATCTATCCCTCACCTAAACCCCAATTCTCCTGATTTTATTATTTGTTAAGCAGCAGCAACATAGAAATGCTACAGAAAGCATGAATCGAGTCCCTCCATTTCAAAGAAATCCCAGTCTAGGAGAGAGAGAATTTTAAGACCAAAAGGAACATTTAAAAGAGTTAATTTCAGAGGGAATTTTTTTCCCCCGGGAGAAAGTGGTGTGGAAAACTCCAGTGTCAGATGGCTGTAAATGGGGACAGTGCAGAAAAGCCTGGGATAAGTAATACAAATTTATTTTTGTGTTGTCAGGACACTGTGATTTCATATACCATGTGTCCATATGGCACTTCCCATGCATAGGATTTGTAAACCTTTCAATTAGCACTGATAGGATAAAGCAGGCAGTTATTTAAAGTAACCCATACGGCATCTTCTGGTGGAAAAATTCCAACTCTCCTCTACTGGACAGGCTTCCAACTTGGATGCCCATGAACCCTCCAAAGGCTGTGGAGAAGCAATCACGAGCTGGGAGGTGCTCCCAAGGACAGAGCAGCAGAGCCCATGCCCGGGACAGGGTGTCTCTATCCTGCACCCAGTGTAACGTTCCAATCCCAGTCTTTCCACATAAAATTCCATAGGAAGGATCACTCCTGCTTGTTGGAGAACATTACCCAGGTTGCTGCTGTCCTTTGAAGCCCAGCAGATGCAGTAGTGCTGCATTAGTTGTTCAAACAGTTCCTTTTCATCCAGGAATTCAAGTGCTTCTATTCTGTAGGAACAAAGTAAAAATTGGGATTTGAGCTGGAGTCTCAGTAGAGTCTTTAATAAACTCTTCACTCCCCAGGAGTGAAAACTCTGGCCAGTAAGGCAGTTACCTTTCCAGTCAATCATACAGGAGTTTGTCCATGGTGCCCCCACCTCTCCACCCTTGCTGTCCATGTATGGAACAAGTGACCCACGGGATGTTTTCAGCTTCTCATTCCTGGACTAATATTTCGTATTAGTCTGTACTTCATAGTTCATTTTCCAGGACTAGCCTGTGTAACTTCTCACAAATACCAGTATTTGTCTTCCAACCCCTTTTCCTGCAGATATCTGGCCTTGCTGGCCCTGAGCAGCCACAGCAGCCCAGTGGAAGGGGATTTATCCTGACCAAGGGATGGCAGGGAACAGCTGAAGACTGTGTTTTCTCCAGAGAATCACAAGTCCATACCATGTCTTGGAAGAGTGATGAGTACACCAGTGCAGCTCCCAACAGCTCTCCCACAGGAGCCCATCATGAAACACAAACTAAATGGTACAAATAGAAGATACAAGGAATTGTTTTCCCTAAAATGGTTCCCACCTTCCTAAAGGAAGGTCTTTAAATGTCTTCCTCCAAATGGGAGATTTTCTCCTGAGCTATGCCTGCTTTACAAAGCTTAACCTGGCCCATTCCTCTCTCTCTCCAGACTACTTGAATATCAGTGTTTATTTTCCATGCTAAATATTTGGAAGAGCTGCTACTGAGGATCAAAAGAGGCTGAGGGGCAAAAGTTCCAAAATACACTCCCAGATGTAAGTGCTGCAGAAGAACACTTCTGCAAAGACTTTTATAAATAAAAAGCATTATTTGCCTCATTAATACTGAAGGACAGAGTTTACATAACCTATTTCCTGGCATTTGGAACAAGTGGAAGGAGCTGAACAGATCTAAGGTAGTCAAAAATGCTGCAAAGAAAGCACAGGCTCTGTGTCTCCACCAGTGCCATCTGGCACCACCACACACCACTGTTCCTATTTAAACCACCTCTGATTTCCACCCTCACCTGTTCAGTTCCAGGGTTGGAGAAAACCCCATATGTGAATATTTGGACCAAGGTAACTTGTTCAGCTAATTCAAACTATAGTTAATGACTCACAGCAGTTCACATTTCATATTATATCCCTAAGTTACTCCTTAAAAAGTTTCATGTTTTTTAGTATTTCTTCAATGCAAAAAAAATTAACAAAATCCATGCAAATTAGTGACTGTTAAAACAGCCTTTAGTTACCCTGTGTTCTCTAAGCTCTGCAGACCCAGCAGTTTCCCTCATGAAGATGATTTCAACGTGTTGTGGTTTGACCCCAGCCAAAATGTGCACAAGGGACATCTCAGGGACTGCGGAAACTCAACACAGCACTTTGTGACATCTTTTGTCTGCAAATTCCTGTCATGAGATGCTTTATACTGCACCCAAATCAAACATCCCCATGGCCAGTGGATCATTAGTGCTGCTCCAGGCACAGCTTCACACTCAGCCACGGCCAGCACGTGCCTGCAGCCTCCTCTGTTAGAGCAGGGAATCCCACACTACACATGGGTGTGAACAGCCCTGGAAATGGCATCTGAGGATGACTTCTGGTTCCAAAATGAATACCTTTTGACATCAGCCTGTGGCAGGAAGCTGTACACCTTCATCATGTCGATGGCCCGCGCGGTGTCCCAGCCGCTGGCCAGCAGCCGCTCCCTCTGTAACACACAGGGCAGCACAGCTTTGAGGGGCCAGCAAAAAATACCAGAGGGCACTTTCTCCCCCCAAGGATTTTGTAGGGCAGCTGCTTGACCTGTTCTCTGAAGAGCTCAAAGTCTTTCCTAAGCATGTGCTGCTGATCTCTGTGCAGAGAGGGCAGGGGGCAGGCAGGGCTGGGCTCTGATCTACTGCAGCTTTGGGACAACCACTGACAGTCAGTGGGGTCAAAGAGAAGGCGCCAGGGTGACCCAACTGTGGCCTTCCAATACCTGAAGGAGCCAACAAGAAAGATGGAGAGACACTATTTACAAGGGCTTGGAGTGACAGGACAAGGGGGAACGGCTTCAAACTGACAGGGAATAGGTTTAGACTGGATATTAGGAAGGAATTCCTCCCTTGTGAGGGTGGTGAGGCCCTGGCACAGGTTGCCCAGAGAAGCTGTGGCTGCCCTGGATCCCTGGAAGTGTCCAAGGCCAGGTTGGACGGGGTCTTGGAGCAACCTGGGCTGGTGGAAGGTGTCCCTGCCCATGGCAGGGGGTGGGACTGCTCCAACAGGGCACACCCAGACAGAACGTGCAGACAGACTAATTAATGTTGATATCCCAGTCCCCCAGAGCTCTGTGCCCCTCTCACCTGGGAGTCCAAGGACCTGCAGACCTCCACCCCAGCCAGGTTGCACTGTCTCCTCTGCAGGTTCTCGATCATGATCTGCCCGAACCGGTCCGTCATGTTCACCTCGGGTAGAGAAGGAGACAAAAGTGTTCCCCCTTCTGCACACAACGTGAGCGTGGGGAACAGCAGGGCCCTGCTTAAACTCTTGGATTGCCTATGTCACAAAATGTACAGGAAACAGCAAAGTGAGTGCACATCCTTACACTGGGCCTCGTTCCCACTGCCACCACCTCCTCAGCTCCCTCCTGGTCACAGCCTCAGTGCCACAGTGACAGTGCCCTGCCCTGACAGACACAGGGACTGACATGAAAACTGATCTGCTTTGAGCTCTCAGCAACTTGCTTCATCTCTCCAGCAGTGATTTACAGCTTGGAAGATCCTGTTACTAAATTCCTGGAGCCACCTAGTTCCCCCGAGGCAGCGTTTAACTTCCACTGAGAGAAGCAGAGTTGGTGCTGATGTGATTTTTGCTCCACTTTGCCAAAGAACAGAGAGGTAATTATGTAATGTTATACACTCAGAGCCAGCACTCAGCATCATTTCTTTTTCCTCTGTCTTAGCTAAACCAATATTCTATGGTTTTCAACACATATGGATTAAGTCTCAATTATTTTGCTTCAACATAGTCCAGAAATTGTCTTTCAGAATAGCTGTATATTCTTTCTAACAAGCTACAAGTTAAAGCACATTACTACAGAAATTCAGAAGAAACTGCTGTCTCTACAAAAGGACACAGCCCACTCCTATTTCACAACAACTCCCACCTTGGAGAGCAATTGTTATGACAACAATGCGGGTCTGAAAATGCCATTTTGGTTTTACCTGCTCATAATTGATAAACATGGCCACGGGAAAGGTGCTTGCTGCCCACTTGAGCAGGTTTGCAGACTGCTGGGGGGTCATGTAAACCAGCACACACTCTGCCACCAGCAGTGTTGGCAAACTGCAAAACAAAACCAAACAACAGAACTATTCACAGCAGAAGAACAAGACAAATCTGTAAAGAATTGTTAGTGAGCAGTCATTTCATGTCTTGAAAGAGCTACATTTTTTATGAAGTAGACACTGAAGTTTGAATGAAATCTCTTCATCAAGTTGACTAGAACTAGGCTTTCTGGCAGCTCATGAATTAATTAACCACAGGAGACTTCTGTGGTTACAAACCAGAGATTTTGGGAAACAATCTCCTCTAAGCCAGCCCTGAACACAGAATAATGTGCATTCTCTAAGTCTTCTCTTACAGCAGGGAACTGAGGAGTCTATTAAAATTCCCTTTGCAGGAGAACTGTACTCTGTATACACAATCCACATTCCTCTAGAGATCAGTAAAATCAGGAATAAATTAAAAAATGAAAAAAAAAAGTTTTCTCTTTACGAAAGTTCTAAGAATTTTAATTAGTCAAATTTGTTCAGTATCTGTAAAATACTCTTCACATATTATTATCTAACGAAATGCAATCCACGGTTTGCACGTTGCCTCTTCCCCCTCCATCCACAAACCAACAAAAATAGACATCTACACGAGTGCTTTTCTTCAGAATTATTGAGTTTGCTTTTAATTGCTAGAATGAAAGGGAAAAAAAAGTCACTAGAAGCAGGAGAAATTCCACAAGGAGCAGCAATGTAGGCAAGCAAGGCAACATTTCAGAAGATGGAAGTGTAAAGAATTAAATGGCAATTTGATGCATTCTGCTTCCCCATATGCTCTCTCCCACCCAGCCAGATCGCTGCTATTTATATAGCTTAGATTTGAAAGGTCTGTCCATCATCCACTCAGAAACTCAACTCCTGCCCCCTCCAAAGCCTCGTGTTGAACAATAAAACCCCACAGAGGAGCTTCTGGACTCAGGTCCGCGGCAATCCCTCCACCAAAAGGTTTAGGGAACAACAGGGGTTCAAGTGGAGGCCACAGAAAAATACAAAGATAAAACTCTGAAGTCACAGAATCACAGCATGGCCTGTGATGGGTGGGAAGGGACCTTAAAGCCCATCCATTTCCACTCCCTGTCATGGGCAGGGACATCTCCCACTAGCCCAGGTTGCTCCAAGCCCCATCCAACCAGGGCTTCCACAAGCCCTCATTAAAAAAGAAAAATCAATTAAAAAATATATAATCTTACTGCTTATCCAAGTTGTGTTTCTTTAGCTTTTCCTCCAGATCTGAGGAGAAGCGGAGATCTGCTCCTACAATGGAATATCGACTGGAGTCAAGGCTGTGGGAATCTGCAAGGGCAATATTTGGAGAGACTAAGGTTACAAATAGGAGGGATGCTGAAATTATGAATTAAAAAAAAACAGCACAAGAATACATGAATTGGAAGCCAAAGTTTGGTCTGTTATACCTAACTATGAACAGCAAACTCTTCTTTTTAAAACATTAATTTCCCTTATACTTGTGGTTTACAGTGATATATCACCACCAGACCCTGCAACGAGCCCACTCCTTCCCTCTGAAGCCACTGTGATGCAGAGAGGTTATCCCAGCCGTTACCATGGCTCCCAGGAATGCAGAGAGAAGAAAAATGTGAAGATTAAAGGCAGGATTTTCATTGTGTTTGTAGAGTCTTTTTAGATGACCCAATGTATGTACACAGAACTACATAAAAGTACATCAATTTTTGAAAACCGGAGTTAAGAGTAACGTGTTTCAAATATTAACAACAGATACAGCCATATAAAATATTTATTTCTATAGTTATAGAATGTATATGGGGATCAGACACAGATTTGGGGCAAAAAAACGTTACAATTTATACTTTTGGTATGATTTAGTGATGGTATTTAAGCAAAGAGTCAAATTAGAGAAGGTGTTCTGAGAAACAAATATTACCCAGGGATAC